CCTAGGCCCCGCTGCCTTCAGCCGCTGGCACAGTTGCTTCTCCCTCCCTCCTTCACTGTACGTGCGTACGTGGTCAGTTCCTCTGGCCCTCCTCCTCCACTGCGCTGTGTCTGTCGCTCGTGTGTCTCCTCCTCTGCCGGAGGGGGAGGGGGATGCTCCCGCGCGTGGGCACTGGGGGACGGATCGGCAGGGTGACGTGTGACAGGCCAGAGGAAGGTCCCGCTGCTGGGTCGGAGCAGCTCGGAGGAACCAAGATCCCTCTCGGCCTCCGTGATAGTCCTTCGTATTCCACCGAGGAATGTAACACCCTCAAAGGCAGCGTGTTCCTATTTGCACGTGTGTTCATTCACTTTACAAATGCTGTTTTGGAGAGGTGATGGGAGATTACAGCGCAAACAGCAGAGAATGCGCATTGTTCCTCATTCCCCTCCACTGCGCTCACACCACCGCTCACGTAGCCCCCGAGGGTACAGCAGTCATTGCAGTTGGTGAACTGGCACGGACATGAGAGTCCCCACCGGCCCCGGGTGCCCCCGAGGGGTTTCTTTTGGCGTTAGGACCGATGTATCATGGTTTATCTCAGAATTATACAGATCTGTTTCAGTATCGTGAAAATCATCTGTGCGCTCTGCCTTTTGGTCCCTCTCACACCCGTAACTGTGGTCTTTTCTACTATCTCCCTAATTGTACCTTTTCCACAGTGTTTCACACTTAATTAGGCAGTCACTCACCTTTCTGAAGTAACTTATTTCACTTAATATCGATTTAAATTTTTTCTGTGAGTTTACATGGCTGGATAGCCCTTTTTCTGCTGAGTAATAGTTATTGAATGTACCCTGCTGTATTTACCCATTCACTTATTAATGGTCATCTCTAGTGCTGCTGAGTTTTTGCAAGCATGATTAAAGTTTCTATAAACATCCATGTGAAGGTTTTATGTAAATGATAAGGGCTCACATGAGTGTGATCACTGGATTGTATGATAAGTGTGTTTCATTTTGTAAGAAAGTCGTTTAAATAGGGATACAGGTGGACCCATTGCAACAATGAGATGTACAAATCGTTATGTCGAAAACGAACTTTACAACTTTGGTGGGGGGAGGGAGGGAAATCATGGAGGATTGGGTGGGGGAGGGGAGGGGTAGGATGGGAAGGGATGGGAAGGGGAAACAAAGGAGGAGGCTACAATGCTTGATAAGAAATGTACTCATTATCTTGCCATTGTAATTGTAACCCCTCTGTACAGTATTTTCACAATTAAAAAAAAGTATCTTTCACAGTGGTTGTTCCATTTTGCATTGCCATTGCAAATGATGAACCTTCCTGATACTCCACATACCAGCAGTGGATGATGTTGGTGTTCTGGGTTCAGACTCTTCCAGTGTTGTGGAGTGGAGCCTTGTCATTGTTTTAACTTGCATTTCATTATGCTGAACAATGTGTATCACTTGATACCATTGTTTGCTGTCTGGGTGTCTCCTTTGATGAGGCATCTGTTTGGACATTTTAAAGTTGGTATTAAATTTCTTGTATAATTGGAAGAGTTCTTGGAATATTTTAGATATAAGTTAGTTTTCACATATGCCCTATGCTAATGTATTTTTTCAGTTTGTGGATTCTCTCTTCATTCTCTTGATAATTTTTCACTGTCAACATAAATCTAAGCTTGAAAATCTTTGAAAAAAATTAAGTAGGTAATACTTAAGTGCTCTTCACACTTCCCTAATTTGGAAACAAGGAATTTGAACTTTATTTGGGTAGAGAAGAATAAAACTGTAGAATATCTACATCATTGTCTGAGAGTATGTTTTTTTAACAAGTAATACAAGTTCCTCTTAGAATAAAAAAGAATATCTGAAATTCTGAACTTTCAGAAGCTATGATTACTTATTTATGATGTTATTCCTACCAGTTATTTTAAATTTAATATATTCTTCTATAAAATGTATCTAGCCTTACTGCATTAATAATGTTTTTTCATGTCATCTCTTCTCAATAGTAAACAATTATCAGCATGATTTAGTGAAAATCCATGTGTATATTGCACACTTTTGTGGTTTATACATGTGTATATACGAATGAGATGTTTTTGTTTGGATGTTTTGTCAGACCAAATGATTTTAACTTCCCTTTTAACATTTTATGTCTGGATTCTAAGTCAAATCCCTCACTTTCCAGATTAAGTACAAAAATGCAATTGGATTAAAGGATTTGCCCAGGATTTTGAAGTAAATCAAGAGGATAATTAGAAATTAACTGATACTGTCTGAATTTCAGCTTATTTCCTTAGCACATGTCAGTCCCCATATGTAAGTTACCTCCTTTTAGGTGTATCAGCTGCTATTTGCACATATGTACATTTAAGGTGCCATTCTGTTGAAGGAAACATAATAAGACCAGAAAATGTAGGAAAAGTTGATTTTTAACTGTATTTTTTTGGTCTTTTTTGGTACTGGGGATCGAACCCAGGACGTTGCGCTTGCTAGGCAAGCGCTTTGCCACTGAGCTATAT